ACATAGAAAGCTTTGAAGCTCCCCTCAGCGATCACAAATATGATGATGATCGGGTCAGTCGCACTGGTGCTCCTAAAACATTTTCAGTCGCACGCAGTAGTTTTCAGTCGCAAATGCTTCGCGTCAGGTGGTTCTTATCTTCATGTCGTGCATTAAAATCGTTCAATGTACAGCAAGCCGTGCATTATTCCTTATGTATTCGCTCTTTAGCAGCAGTTTTTTACAGCAATATTTAAATGACACCCTGGTCATTCTTGGTGTACACAAAATGGTCCCACACTATCGACAGGCATTTCTCTGGTGGAAATAAAGCTTCGCTGTTTGGTCCCTCTGTCAGTTCATCTAATGCATGTAGTAGTGCCTCTGATAAGCACGTCAATTTAAGCTGGTGCACCGCTAGTGTAACTTTTTTCGTTTTAAACAAAGCAGCTGCTCTACTTTCTGTTTCTGAATCGTGTTTAAATGATTTAAACAGCCATTCAGATTTGTGTATTTGCTATGATGTTCATCACAGCACCAAATACTTAAATATTTAAATAGGCTATTTGTTTTCTTTTACATTTTAATCTGGACTACAACATGGCCTAGATATTGTTTGAAAGTGTTTTGATTCTTTATTGTTCGGTCACACTTTACATTAGGGCTTCATTAGTTAACATTAGTTAATTCATTAGTTAACATAAACTGCCAATGAAAAATTCTTCTGAACATTCATTAATCTTAGGTATGCAATATTTAATAACACGTTGTTAAAATCGAAAGTTGCAACTGTGTTATTTAATGAGCTAATATTAACTAAGACTTAACTAATAATTAATAACTTCTGTAGCAAATGTAGCTATTGCTCATTGTGAATGTTAATGCTTTAACTAAGGAGGTCTTATTGTAAAGGGATACCTATTGATCTTTATAGTTCTTTTGCACTTTAATCTGTGTAAAACTTTTAGCTTTATACATTTTTCTGTATTGCTTTATTGCATTTAAATGTTCAGTTATTTTTGTTATAGGAAAAAAGTTATTAAACCTGTTATAATGTATAATGACAGCACTTTTTTTAAAACTACATTTCAATACCTTGATAATACCGTATACCGTGATAAAAGCTTTAGCAATTAATTGCAACATGAAAATCTGATACCGGCATATCCCTATTGAGAATACGTACCTTCAAAGTTGTTCGATATAACTCGAAACATAAAATTTGAAGCCCTCCTCCTTTTTACTTGAAGGAGTGACCAATGCTAATCTTACAATTCGATTGACATCGTTCACTGTAATCCGTGGAAGTTCTTGCAAGCAGCAAGTGTAAAATGTCATGCTGAAAGCACTCATTGAAAACGGTAGGTAAAAACCGCTTACGGCGCAGCACCGGAAGTTGTGGAGCAACTGAGACAAACCGTGAAAGTAGTCGTGCATAGGGTCTATTGTCAAAGAAACATGGAGAAAGACCAACGAACAGACCAGGAGGAACCACAAAGAATTACATTTTCTAAAGTGTTTTTAATAACGTGATATTGTCGGCACAAAGGTTCAGCAGTCAACCGCGATAGCAGTGCATCATCCGCCCGGACAGTTTAGAGGAGCGCACATGCTCACAATGGAGGATGCGTTATGAATCAAGTTGAAATGTTTAACTCTTGTAGCGTTACAATTAACCCCGCGCTTGTACACCGCTCACCCTGTAAATGTGAAATGCTTTTTACAGTCCGTTTCCTTATTGGTGGGTAGCCATATGAAGGAACGAAAACAACAAACTCATTATATCCCTCGGAAAGATACAGCGCTGAGTTTAAACTTAAGCACAGGGCGTTTTTTGGTATTTTCGCCTAAATTTGACATACTCAAATTCAAATGTTTAAAACTGTTTGGTTTAAAACAGTCACCGCCAATGGTACGAATGATCTTTTATATAGGTTATTTTAGCCAGCGGTATACGCAGCCTGCGCCCTGAAGGAAGGGCCTCAAAGCAGGAATGAAGTGGATGAGTTTGGTCTCAATAGACTGCGATCGCCTTTTTTCCATAAAGTGTAAAAACAGCTCTTGCATTGTACTCTGTTTCTGGCCGATTATCCTATTTGCTTCATTAATTACTCGTGTTAATTTATTTTTCTGTTTCATTGTTAAATTGCCATACCATGATACAATATTATATGTTAAAATACTTTCAATCATCGATCTATAAACAATGGTTAAGACCCTCCTATCGATGCTAAAATTTCTTAGTTTCCTGAGTAGACCTAACCGCTGTCTTGCTTTCTTGTGTATATGGTCCACATTTTCCTGGAATGAAAGTTTGTCATCAATGATTGTACCTAAATATTTAAAATTTGAAACTTGCTCTACCTTTACACCTTTTATAGTAATTTGTTCATATGAGACGCCAGCCGTACCGATCCTATTTTTGTTCCCACAGCATAGTTCCTTTTTCTTCTCAATAGTCAATTGTAAGGTGACTATCATCAAACCACTGAACAAGACTTTCAATATACTCAAAATAAGTTAAACTATTCATGTCCAATTGGCAAGAGATTAAAACCAAATCATCAGCATATTTGATCAGGGTGAGATCATCCCGGTTACATTGAAGGTCATTAATATAGACAGAAAAAAGCAGAGGTGATAACACGCATCCTTGTGGTAACCCAGAATTCAGGACTATATAATCAGATGAGATTCCATTGACACAGACTCGTTGGTCTATTTCTTAAAAAAATGTTCAATACATAAAATCAACCAACTGCTTACACCTAAATCTTGCAATCTTCCTTTTAAAATTTGCAGTTGTACAGTATTAAAGGCTGATGTAAAATCCATGAAAAGAATTCTGACATGATTGTTGGGCCTTATGTAACAAGGTCAGAGAGGCATCCACCGTGCTCCGATCGGGCATGTAAGCAAATTGTAATGGATCTACAAAGCCGTTAATTTGTGACATCAATTCTTTACATAATATACGCTCCAGCGGGTTGATCATAAATCGTATTGTACAGCGGGTTGATCATAAATCGTAAAGAGGTTAGGGGAACGTTATAATAACGTTCTGGGAACAAAAAAAACTAACGTTAAGGGAACGTTATAATAACATTATGGGAACGTTAGATTAACGTTCTGGGAACCAAAAGCTAATGTTACATTAACGTTAGAATAACGTTCTGGGAACGTTAAGAAAACTTTCCTGGCTAACCAAAAACAAACCATAAAAAATAACGTTCTGGGAACCAAAAACTAACGTTCCTGAAACGTTATGGGAACCAAAAATTGTTAGCTGGGAGTATGGATGAAGCTTGACGCACATTCACACCTGTGTTGACTTGTGCCTAGCTCCGCCTTTAAAATGAATGTAAATTCAGTGTGCTTGCTAATTTCACTTGGATGAAATGAAACATTCAGCACATTTTCCACTTGTTCTTAAAATCCCAAATACTTAAAAATGAATAAATCAGCCTATATAACATATGTAATACTTTAATAATTGACTAAAGAAATAGTTCTTTATTTATAAAAAATAAACAAATCTTTCCTGTGAAATTCAGTAATTAAGTTAATTCTGTAAAAGTAGTTATACCATTATAATCTTTTCTGCTAGAGAAAAACAAAAACAAAAAACAATAGAACCCCTCCCAAAGAACAATAGAAAATTTTATGGATTTCAGTGTTATAATGGGAATTGTATTGGTTTTAATGTAAACTATAATGGCGTCTATTTGATGGATTCTATTGGTGGGATGTAATATGGCAGATGGCAACCAATAGAACAACAGTAATTCCTATTGGAATAATGCCAAAAACAAACAGGAATTTTGTAATGGTTTAATGGAAGCTATAAGAATTTCTGTGATGGTTTCTATTGTCTTTTTTAAGCAGGGTAACATACTGTGCTGCACATTATTGACAATATTGAACTAAAGCTTGACTTTGCACATTTAAAATCGCAAATCAAATTGCAATTGCAATATCTGTCAAAAAAAAAAATTCGCATTTAGATATATTCCCCAAATAGGGCAATTTGATCTTTGTAATGTTTCATTGTTCTTCCCCGTTTCTGTTCGATACCTACTTTTGTGTGGAGTTGCTTTATCAATTAATTTATCACAGCCTTTATCACAGCCCTATCTCAATGTGAACACTCAATGTGAACACGGTTTCTCTCCAATGTGGATCCTCTCGTGTGTTTTCAGATGTGATGACTGAATGAATCTCTTCTCACAGTGTGAACACTTATAAGGTTTTTCTCCAGAGTGAATCCTCTCATGCCGTTTCAAATGTTCAGATAAAGTAAAAGTCTTTTTACACTCAAAGCACATGTACTCTCTCACAGCAGTATGTATTTTCTGATGCACTTTCAAACTTTGTAGACATGAAAAACTCTTTCCACACAAATAGCATGAATGTGGCTTCTCCTTTGTATGAACTCTCAGGTGTTTCTTCAGGCCTGAAACCCACAAAAATGTTTTGTCGCACTGATCACATGTGTGCCGCTTCCCTCCAGTGTGGATGTTCATGTGATCCTTAAGGTTTGCTGATTGAGTGAAACTCTTCCCGCACTGATCACAAGTGAATGGTTTCTCTCCGGTATGAATTCTCATGTGTGCTGAAAGGTTTCCTTTTTGTGTGAAACTCTTCCCGCACTGATCACATGTGTACGGTTTCTCTCCAGTATGAATGTTCATGTGAAGCTCAAGATTACGTTTGCATGTGAAACTCTTCCCGCACTGATCACAAGTGAACGGTTTCTCTCCTGTATGAATGTTCATGTGAAGCTCAAGATTACGTTTGCATGTCAAACTCTTTCCACACTGAGTGCAGGTGAAATATTTCTTGGCTCTTTTTTTAAAAAAATATTTCTGTTTGGGGGTTTCTCCACTTTTGACACGATTTTTCTCCTCAACTTCACTCAATTCTTCTTTCTCATTATCTTCAATCAACTCTGAAACAAAAGTAAAAAAAAAAAAAAAGGTACATTTGTCAATAACTTGTTAAAAAAAATACAGAAAAGTGAAAGGACATAAAAATGAACCCTGATATAACAGCGGAAAGTAGACAATTTGCATTAAAAAATTTAGATCATTTTGATGTAATTTTATAAATTGTACGTCCCTGAATCTTTCCATGAATGAGGTACACTGCTTTTCAAATTATTTGTTTTCAATCAACACAAACACAGCACACCTTAAAATAGTCCGACAACACTGTCGAATCCAAAAAATAAAAATATTCAAATCACTATCAGTACTTGCTAAATATTGAAATAAGCACAAGCAATGTTTCGGTCCACTGACCTTCATCAGGCATAAATTATTAGTTTTAAAATATTATAAGCACAAATATCATGTTTCTATAGGGAGAGCTATTAAATATGTTTGATAAACATATAACATATTTTTCATGAAGGATCTGAGGATCCATAAATGCAAATTGTGTGTTGCATTAAGAGAGCAACCATATATTTGTGTTATGTTTTTATTTTCTTGTTTTTATTCATTTATAATCATTTATTTGTATAATAATTTTCTGTAATAATTTATGTAATTTATTGTTTGATTATTTTGTCATTTACCATTTATATCATTTTATTTATTAATTTATGATTTAATGATTTTATATTTTTTATTTCTTATTTTCCTTGTTTAAAATGCATTTTCATTGCTTAAACATTCCCTCTTATCTCTTATTCATTCAGACAAAATAGTTTAAACCTCACAATCATCAGATTATGTAAACTCAAGGTTTATGGGATGTTATTGTGTTTGTAAAACACTACTTGTTGGATTTGTGCTGGTCAGACGAAGTCTGAGCATTGAAACATAGGCAACTAAGATTTTTCAATAAACTTAGCTCCTTTTTATCATCATCACTTCATCTCCTGCTTCTGCTCTTCTCTGGCTTTGCTCAGTCATCTTCTAGGCTCATAGAAGACTATTAATAGTTTTGGAACCAGACATTACTTGATGTTAATGGGTTTTAAAACTCTAGTCTACCACATCCAGTTCTCAAAAGTATTGTGAACAAATGTTCTGTATGAGTTTTATGGCCTTATTTTAATGACTTAAAAATGTTAACTTTTCACTAACCACGCATAAACGTTTGATCAAAAACACAAACATGTAGGCTATGCTGCCTATGTATTATTGTAGCACAGTTTGTGCTGATTAGTGTGATTACAGTGTCATTAATATGTTTTTAAGATACTGAAAAAAGCACAAATGTCAGGCCATGTCAAAACTACTCCTGGGCCCCAAACTCAGACCCCAGAGGGTTAATGCTTTGTGTGTACCACAAACTGTCATTAAAGCTGAATGAAGAATAAACACCAACCTCCTTGTTCCTCATGTTTTATTCTCCGGGTTTCTGGTTCCTCCTGTTTTATTCTCCAGGTTTCTGGTTCCTCCTGTTTTATTCTCCAGGTTTCTGGTTCACTCGTGTCCTCCTCACTCTCCTCTTTAACAAACACCATCTTCACAGCAGCAGATCTCAGTTCAGATGATACTCCTCCAGATATTCCTGCTTGCTTCAAAACTTAGTCATGACTGTGAGGTTGATAATATTACAGGTATTTACTGACCTGATTCAAAAACTGTATTTTTATATTTACAGAAACAACATTTCTAACAGTTTGTATTAAACCAGCATCAATACAACACAGAGCACGGAGAAACTAATCTTCTTCCTCTGAGGTTTAATGGTGTTTGGCAAGCAACCGTCTGTGTTTTAGCGCCACCCGCTGCACTGGAGTCGAGAGGTGGAGGGAAAATAATACTCATTTCATCATATTCACACTGTTTTAAAGGGGTCATATGATGCGATTTCAAGTTTTCCTTTCTCTTTGGAGTGTTACAAGCTGATTGTGCATAGATAAGATCCCTGAAGTTGCAAAGACTAAAGTCTCAAAACCAAAGTTAAGACTCTGCCACAGCACTTTATTTGGCCTTCCGAAAGTAGATGCATTTAGGAATCTTTAAGATTACTTACAACAGAACAGCAATGCATTTTATGGACAACCGTTTCGTGAACCTAGGAGAGGAGGTAATTCTGACTTTGCTATGACAATCTGGCGCTTCTGAATCAAAAAGTTGCGATTTTCTAGGCCGATATGGCTAGGAACTACAGTATACTCTCATTCCAGGGTAATAATCAAGGAACTTTGCTGCCGTACTATGGGTGCAGCAGGCACAATGATATTACGTAGCTCCTGAAAATAGGCTAACTTCTGTCAACCTAACCAACGTGACCACCTGCTTGCACAGGGAGCGTGCTGTTGGATCTGTGCTCACATGTGAAGAACTATGAGACTCAAAAAGGCAGGTGTTATCTTCCAGCATTACAGTCAGTTTTCCAGTCACCTGATGTCTGGATCATAGATCTCTCAGAGAGAAAGAGCTCCGTCCTCCTGCAAGTGCTGAAGCTCCAGACAGAGAAGAAACCAGTATATCTGTGTGAACACCTATAAGGTTTTCTGCCGTTTTAAACAGTTTGCTAAAGTAAAATCTTTTCACACTCAAAGCACATACTCTCTCACAGCAGTATGTATTTCCTGATGTACTTTCAAATTTTGTAGACATGAAAAACTCTTTCCACACAAATAACATGAATGTGGCTTCTCCTTTGTATGAACTCTCAGGTGTGTTCTCAGGTATGAAGCTCTCAAAAATGTTTTGCCGCATTGATCACATGCGTACAGCTTCTCTTCAGTGTGAATCCTCTCATGTGTTTTAAGGTCTCCTGACCGACTGAATTTCTTGTCACATTGTGAACACTTGTATGGTTTTTCTCCAGTGTGGATGTTAATGTGATCCTTAAGTTTTGATGATTGTGTGAAACTTTTTCCGCACTGATCACAAGTGAACAGTTTCTCTCCAGTATGAACTCTTATGTGAAGCACAAGATGATGTTTGAATGTGAAACTCTTTCCACACTGAGTGCAGGTGAAAGATTTCTTGGCTGTTCTTTTCATTAAATCTTTCTGTTTGGTTTGAGACCAAGTCAAAGTTTTTTCTCCAGTTTTAGCATAATTTTTCTGCTCAACTTCACTCAATTCTTCATTCTCCTCGTTTTCTTCAATCAACTCTAAAATAAAAGTAAAAAAATGGTTCATTTCTAGTAACTCGTAGAATTACTAGATTTAGCAGATAAATGTGGACATAAAAATTATCCCTGATATAACAGTGTAAATGAGATCATTGTTATACAAAATGTTGGTAATTTTTAGGAATTTTTATAAATTATACGTCCCTGGAATGTTTCCATGAATGAGGTATATTGATCTTAAAATTATTATTTTAATATATTTATTATTATATATTATTATTTAAAATTATCCATATTTCTATAGGAAGAACTATTAAATATGTTTGACCCACTACACAAAATATCAGACATAACGTTATTGATAAAAGTGCCCATTTCATAGAAAGTGTCCCTTACAGGGCTCCAACATTTGTTAGCAGTGGCACCAGACCCAGTAACTTCTACAGATGGTGGTGCCAGAAGCAGGTTTATTTTACATTAAAAAGTGTAGTTACTAATAATATTACACATTTATTTCTTGGTAATGCACATTTGACAGTAAAGCACTGAGCTTGAGTTGGGAATCATGCAAAATTTACTTTTATGAACAACATTAACGTGCAAATTCTCATATTTAAATAGAAAATTAATATTCTACTCTTTTTAAATGTACCATCAGTGGCAGATTTGGGCCTTCTTGCCAGGACAGCACAGGACGCCTGCACCTGCATGAATGAATGAATGAATGAATGAATGAATGAATGAAATTCGCGATTGGGTTTTTACCGCTCATTTGTGCTCAATATCATGTCAGTTTTTAGGTCAATTAACCTGATCAGGACTTGGAGCACTTCTCTCTCGCTCAGACGCATAGCAACTCCAGGTTAAGACTAAAGTAGCCTAATGTTTAGCCTACAATAACTACACACATAACAAAGCCCAGGGATGAACCCGTGAGAGTGGAAGAGTTCCGGAGAACATCTGCGGGGTGTCGATGCACCTCACGAGAGAATAAGACCAGTAAGCAAGGTAAAAAAATATATGTATGTTTGTCTGTGTTTGTCAACATTTTTGTACACCAGTTTAACCTAGTAACATTTACCCGTCAACATAGCGGTAACAAACTTTACTATGGTAAACTGTGCTGTCGTTTCAAACGACTTTCGTCAGCTTATTGAATTACCGAATTAAAATTACTTTTAACGAGCAACGCTTATCTTGTATTAACATTAAGTTAACTAATGTGAAATTTTGTTCAGGTGTTAGTAATGTTGGCCAGTAGCCTATTGAGAAAATAAAATTGTATGTTAGCTAGGTTAAACAAGTGTTATGGCTAGCTGCCTTTCTAGTTTTAGAATTTGTTTGTTATAGTTTTTAATGGAATTTAAGATTTACTGCATTTTTTGTATTTGTGTTTTAAAAGCAACTGCAATGAAGCATCAAGAAAGACATGAGCAGGCCAGCCACCCTGAGACTGATAATTCATGGTAAGAGAACAACTATGGTTTTGAGAGATTTGTGTATTCTATATGGGGTTTGCCTTTTAAAAGTGTGTCATTTCTACTTGTTTTTCAGAGAAGACATTTCTGTCACTAATAAAGTGGACGGTGAGCAAAGGTGGTGGCCACGTTTTGGAGCAGCACCTGGGTTTTGCAGATGGCTATGTCAGGATCCTGCCCTGACAGTCTTGTCTGCCCTGTCTTTGTTTAATGTATCCTTGTTTATTTTGTGCCTGAGCACATGGCTGTGTCTTTGTTTGTGTTGGCCATGTGGTCCTCTTGTCCTGCCTCCTCATTTTCAATCACCACGCCCCCTTGTTTAGTCCTTGTTTGTCCAATTGTGTTCACCTGATCCTCGTGTGCTCTGATCCCTTTATATTGTGCTCATTTCCCTCCAGTTTTGCTGGTTTGTTTTGTCTGTGCATTTGCCGTGCTATTGTCTTTAGTCTTGTTAGAGATATTTAGTAGATTGCATCCAGTCTGGTTTTCCCTTTGTTAGTTTTTGTTCTTGTGTTTAGTCTATAGTCTAGTTAGAGCCTTAGTGGTTTAGTTATTTTATTTTAGTTCCTGAACCTTTTTATTTTGATTTCATTTTCTTTCTAGTTTTCAGCAAGGTTGCTGTCTAGTTTATTTATATTTTGTTTGTAGTTCGAGTCAATTTTCCTATTGGTATCCTTTTTTTCACAAGTTCCATTTTTTTTTCTGGTATTTTATTTGTTTTTCCTTTCAGTTTTATTTCTCTATAGTCATAGTTTTGCAAGTTTTTACTTTTGATCCGTGTCTATCTCTTGTCTCTCCTGTTGTCTTGTATGTGAGTGTGTCTGTCGAGTTGGTTCCTGCCCTGCTTCCTGAGTCCTCCCTGGTCACTGATTCTTCTGACCTGGTAGACATTTTGGTGCATCAAGAGTCATCCCCAGGGCCAAGCCTGTGGTTCCTTGAGCTGCTACCTAGTCCCCTTTTGCCACAGAGTCTGGAGCTACCCTCATCCCCGACCAGCCTGTTCTCCTGTTGTGTGCCCTGCCTTATTGTGTGGACCGTCTTCCTGCCTAATCCTTTTGTGCTCATTTTGTTAAACACTGTTTCCCCTGTCCATTCTGTATTTGGGTCATCCCTTGACAAACTGTGAAGGGCTATGTATTCTTTGGCTGCTTAGCTTTTATTTATTTTTTTCCCCCATTATGTTTCTGTTGCCTATTTATTCTTTGTAAGGATAAATCCAGATGATACAACAATGCACTGCAAAATGTCCTAAGACAGGAGAAATGAAGATGCACTGTTCCAGTATTGGAAGACTGTATTTATAAGTGTTATACATGCAATGTTTTAAATAAAGAATTTGATATTTTGCAATTATTGTCTGTTTTAATTGAATGCCAGTAGTACCTATGTAGGGTAAAAAATTTAATGAATTCTATATTAAAAATATATATAATCTAATTATATTAATTACAATAGTATGCGGAGTAATTTTATTTATTTTTTAACAGTAATTTACTGGCAACAGTGTAAAAAGCCTGTGAAATATCTAACAGTGTGCTTATCAGCTCGGACCAATAACTGAGCACAGCGCAAACTGATCAGAGCTCAGAACAGAACCAATGTTGATCTTGTGACACTTTTACTGCACACTGCTGCGAGATCCAGTGAGAAGCGTTTGAATCCTGCACAGAATTATCTGTTATAAACAGATCAAACAGCGCTGATGTAGAAAACCAGAAGTAACACTAACTGCAGGATACCATGGTGTTGTGGCAGAAATAGTCAAATTTTATTACCTCATTAATTTCAGGGTTTGTACAACCTTTTGAGAGAGAAATTCATGCACTTTTCAGTGACAACACAACTATTT